TCATCCAGACACGTGAAGACAATCTCCTTAAAGGTGTATCACACAGCCCTTTGGACTAATAGACCATCTCCCTTGCCCCCTTCATTAAGTTCAGCACATGTTTAAATGGGTGAATTTCCTTGGCGTCTCTTTTGGAGCGCTTTTTCAAGCATTCTGAGACGTTGCCCTGTGTGGAGGGCGCAATATAAATGCAAGCTGTTGTTGTTGAATGGAGCAGTCACATCAACTTAAAGGGTAATCTTTAAATCATTCTGCAGGATAATTCAAATGATACAATGTTAGCTTCAGCTTTTCAATTTTGCCCTGAGATTATAATATAAATTCATCAGATATAAAAGAATACTCATATGTTAGAATCTACCAGATTCAGCCCCAAATTAATAAAAAAGAAAATGTTATAAAACCACAGCAAAGTCCCACAGCGTTAACATTATCTTTCCCCTCAAAATCCTGGTTGATTTCCAGGCTTTTATGTTTTTATTTCAGATTTCTGGCACACACAGCTCTTCCTTTGATCTCAAAGAGTTTATGTTACAGAGGAGTGTTGTACATCATTGTGCGCTTTGTTTATTAACCGAGGCATAGAATCTGCCATTTATCACTGGTGTTTCAAATTCACCAGTGGTTCAGGTAAGTTTTGCATTGGATACAGCACCTTATCACCTGGAAATGTCTTAAAGCATCACAGTAATTACTGTTAAGTGACTGTGTAATTTTTAGGCAAATATGGCAGTTAATATGCACATATCCATGTACCACAAAAAGCTAGGAAGTGAATGATTAATTTACTGGAGTTTGCTGGCCAGGATACCAAGAGAAACATCCTTCTTTTTGGATAGTGACATGGGTTCTTTAACATCCAACTAGACAGAACCTTGTTTTCTAAAGCACAGCACTTCCAACCAAGCAGCGCTCCCCCAGCCTGTGCTGGAGTGTCAACCTAAACCATCAGCTCAACACCACCCCACCCCGCGCCCCACCTCCCACACACACACCACCTGAACGGAAAGCCTTCTGAATAGAGGCTAGAATGTTACCAAGCTGAGCCATACTGACACCAAGACTTATGAAAAAATATTGGAAGCGAAGACAAGCGAAGAAAAGACAAGAAATCCTGTAATGTGGTCTACAGTGTAGCTCATTAACACTGTTGTATGTTACAGTATCTTCCTAGCTATGAATATGAAGTATGAAATAATCGAACACGTTGCAGTGTTCGGTGATGCAGCGCTTTACATCTCACTTATCGTTATTTTCTCATAAATTGAAGGGAATTTCTCCATATCTCCTGGCCAGCAAATCCCCCAAATTAAATTGATCACTCACTCCAAGGCTGTTTGTGGGACACTGCTGTGTTTCGCCCACAAAATACACAGTCAAACCACTTTACAATATATCCTGTGAAGCGCTTTGAGATAAGACGTCATGTCAAATGTGTGGATAATTATTATTATTATGAAATGAAATGGGTAATGGAGCTTCTTAGTTTGATTTAAGTTTGTCATTGCTTTGGTTTATGTAGCGCTCTCTGATTCCTTGCCGACCTAAGTCACTGACTGATTATTCTGACGATTAAGTCTTTTGACAGGAGATGTTTTATGCTTAGATTATTTTTTTTGCATCTCAAGATATTACAAGGCGCGTTCTCGCGTGCAAAAACTACATCAGCAAACCCAAGACTGAGTTGTTTAATAAAAAAATCATTGCGTTGAAATGCCAATCAGGATTCGATTGCTGTTGTTATTTTAGATGTCAATGAAGACAGGAGCAATCTCCTGGTCTGTAGACTCCACACTGCCCCCTGCCATGACTGTCAGTGATGGCACGTAAGACCTTACAGTAATCGGCGTCTAAATAAATATTTGAAATTGCCAATATGAAATTTAATGATAATAATCCTTCCCATTGACATAGCGCCTTAACACGTTCTTGAGACGTCTCAAAGCGCTTCACAGAATGTACTGTAAAGTGAATTGACAATGCTTTGGGACGTCCTCCCCACGTGAAAGGTGTTACACAAATGTAATATAGTAAGGTCATATTTTGTGGGCAAAAATTTTCCAAAATGTCAATCAAATAATGCAGAATTTTTTTTTTGTGTGTGTGTGTGTGGGGGGGGGGGGCAGAGAAAATCCATTCGGAATAAGGGGTCCACTGATGGATCTAACCTCTCGACAGAGAACTGGACAGATTTGTTGTTGAAGGATAAAATCTGAACTGGAGGTCTGGTCAAAGTCTGGAGGATTAGGATTATTGTGGGACTCCCCAGGAGGGTGGAGTTGGAAGAGAGAGGGGAAGATGGTGACTGCATTAGGTGGAATTGTGTTATTGGTCATTTCTAACACGACAACTTGCATTTACACAGAGCCTTTCAGGCAGAGGGGGTGAGAGAGTCTGAGAGCTCTGTGCTCAGAGACAACGCAACAAAACAAATCATGTCGGGGCAATAAAGTTTCAAAGGTTCGATGCATTTTTTTAAAAAAAGATAATAGATAAAATAGAGGGGAGAGAGAGAGAGGGAAAAAAATAATCTCAGCTTCACCGGGGAGGGGGGGGGGGGGGGCATTGGCAAATCATTGCACCTTCCACGTTAAGTGTGTGCTCTTTGCTTCTCAAACTGCAGGGAACAGCTCAGTGAATGTCCAGCCAAGGAGAGAGAGAGGGAGAGGGAGAGAAGGAGAGAGGGGAGAGAGAGAGATGCATCAGCTCCAGTCAGTGCTTGTGCAAAGCAGGTAGTGAGTTGGGGGCAAACCTCACTCTGTTCCGGGTATAGCTTTTCGAGCAAGAAGAGGGGTCAGTGACTGCAGCCGATATTCTGCCCGGATGGAGTCCCGGCGAAATGAGATGCACCCGTGAGGTCTCCCCCCACTGAGACCCCCCCCCCCACCCCCACTCCCCCACCACACCACCACCACTGCGGAGATTGATTTGCCAACAGCCCACGGGGTTGCACTGGTAGTTGGTGTGACAGGTAGGAGAGGGATTTTTGTTTGGAAGATCGTGAACTGATTGCGAGATGAGATCCAAATGTAACCCCACACACACACACACACTCACTCACTCACTCTCACACTCACTCACTCACGCAGTGTGGGAGCCCCGTTGCTCGGGTCCCGGTGCTGTTGCTGAGAAGGACAGAGCCATTTCGTTTACCGCAGCAGCGACTCCGCTTTGCAAGAGGTTCGGCGGTGACTCGGGATCCTGTCGGGGAGGGCAGCACTGCGGGAGGATTTTGTGTTGCACCCACGTAGGTAGGCAGGTGGGTGGGCGGGTGGGCGGGTGGGTGGGTGGTGGGTGTTGTGCTATTCAAATGCAAAAGTTTATTCCTTATTTTTCAAACCGAACTGGATCGTCGCGAAAGGGTGGGTTTGCGGAGAGGGATGGAGGGGAGAGGGAGAGTGGGGGGGAGGGGGGGGAGAGGGATGGAGGGGAGAGGGAGAGTGGGGGGGGGGGGAGGGATGGAGGGGAGAGGGAGAGTGGGGGGGGGGGGGAAGGAGAGGGATGGAGGGGAGAGGGAGAGTGGGGGGGGGGGGGGGGGAGAGGGATGGAGGGGAGAGGGAGAGTGGGGGGGGGGGGGGGGGGAGAGGGGGGGGGAGGGATGGAGGGGAGAGGGAGAGTGGGGGGGGGAGGGATGGAGGGGAGAGGGAGAGGGGGGGGGGGAGGGATGGAGGGGAGAGGGAGAGTGGGGGGGGGGGAGGGATGGAGGGGAGAGGGAGAGTGGGGGGGGAGGGATGGAGGGGAGAGGGAGAGGGGGGGGGGAGGGATGGAGGGGAGAGGGAGAGTGGGGGGGGAGGATGGAGGGGAGGGAGAGTGGGGGGGGGGAGGGATGGAGGGGAGAGGGGAGGGTGGGGGGAGAGGGAGAGTGGGGGGGGGAGAGGGGAGGGGGGGGAGGGGGGGGGGGGAGAGGGAGGGGGGGGGGGAGGGGAGTGCGATCCTTGCACTGTGTAACCAGGTTAGTAAGTGCTGAGAGGTAGAGGGTTTAGGTTTAAACAGAGACCAATCGCAGCCAAACGGCACGGATTTGTGGTTGACCTCTCTCTCTCTCCCCCCAAAGGGTTGTGTGGCTGAGCTGAGCTGAGCTGGGGGGGGGGGGGGGGGGGGGGTTTAGGACCCAGGGCTTTAGGACCCAGGGCTTTAGGACCCAGGGCTTTAGGGGTACAGTGAAGCCGGGAGGGGTGAGATGGTGTTCAGGGCAAAGCAATGACGCCGCTGCCTTCAGTAAAGGTTATTTAATAGCCCGGTTTGGTGGTGGGGAGAGAGCGAGAGGGAGAGTCCGGGAGCACAGCTGATGTGAGCGCTGAGCGTGTGCTGAGTGTCAGCCTGAACACCTGCAGCGTGTGTGTGAAACCCTCCCCTCACACACACTCACACCTACACACACTCACACACACACCTACACACACTCACACACACCTACACACACTCACACACACCTACACACACTCACACCTACACACATCCACACACACCTACACACACACACTCACACCTACACACACTCACACACACCTACACACACTCACACACACTCAAACACACCTTCACACTCACACACACCTACACACACTCACACACACCTACACACACATCCACACACTCACACACACCTACACACACCCACACACACCTACACACACTCACACACCTACACACACACACACACACTCACACCTACACACACTCACACCTACACACACACACCTACACACACACACACACCTACACACACACACATACCTACACACACACACACACACCCACACCTACACACACCCACACCTACACACACTCACACCTACACACACCCACACCTACACACACACAGACCCTACACACACACCTACACACACCCACACAGACCCTACACACACACCCCCACCTGAACCCAATGAACCTCTCCCTCAGTCACAGCGCTGAGCTCTGTGCAGTGCCTCCGCCGGGGCTCCCGGGGCTGTGCTGAGCTGTGCTGAGCTGAGCTGAGCGCCCCCCGGCCTGGCCCGGCCCGGCCCGGGCTGTCGAGGGGGAAAAGGGGGCATTTAGACGCTCTCTTTCGTAAAGGCTATGTCGCCGCAACAGGACAGTGTCGGGCAGAGCCGCTCCGCCTCCCTGACCGGGGAGCCCCGACCCCCCGCCCGCGGGGACACACCGGGAGAGAAGGTAACGGGGAACCAACCGGTGGCTTCGTCTTTGGTGCGAACTGTTCGAGAGAGATTCCGACTCTCACTCTCTCACTCACTCTCTCCTCTCACTCACTCCTCTCATTCCCACTCACTCCTCTCCTCTCACTCCTCTCCTCTCACTCACTCCTCTCATTCTCACTCACTCTCTCCTCTCACTCTCCTCTCTCTCTCTCTCACTCACTCTCTCCTCTCACTCTCTCTCATTCTCACTCACTCCTCACTCTCACTCACTCCTCTCACTCTCTCACTCTCTCACTCACTCTCTCCTCTCACTCCTCTCACTCTCACTCTCTCCTCACTCTCTCCTCTCACTCTCTCACTCCTCTCACTCTCACTCTCTCCTCTCACTCCACTCACTCTCTCCTCTCACTCTCTCTCATTCTCACTCACTCCTCTCACTCTCACTCACTCTCTCTCACTCTCTCTCACTCCTCTCACTCTCTCCTCTCACTCCTCTCACTCTCTCACTCCTCTCACTCTCAGTCTCTCCTCTCACTCCACTCACTCACTCCTCACTCATTCTCTCCTCTCACTCACTCTCTCCTCTCACTCACTCCTTTCGCTCTTACTCACTCTCACTCACTCTCTCACTCCTCTCACTCTCCTCTCACTCACTCTCTCTCTCTCTCTCTCTCCTCTCTCTCTCACTCCTCACTCACAGGCTTGTGATTTGTAACTGTTGCCATTTATCTAAGTCCCTTTCCTCAAACCCCAGCGACTTTGATCCAAGTTCGCTGTTAATAATAATAATAATCCTTGTATTTGATACAGCGCCATATCACGCCGCTCAGACATCTCAACGCGCTTCGCAGGATATACCGTAAAGTAGATGGACTGTGTATTTTGTGGGCGAATGGCTGTTCGGGGTTTAGAGGGTCGAACACGTTCTATTCATCGAGTTTGGTTGGAAATGGAGACAGGGCACTTGTGTTTAGTGGTATAAGGGATTCAGAGGTTGTGTTGACCTGAAAACAAGGCTTTGGGTTGTGTTAACCCCGATACAGGTTGTTGTGTAAATCCTGAACCTAACCCAGGGAAATATTTCTATTAGTCTGAACCCTAACATAGGGTTTCCCCTTTAGGAGTTGACTGATCTAATACACAAGTGGCCCGGACCTGTGTTTAAAATTTCACATTTGAAATTGTGTCTACTACAGTTTGGAAGATGCTTCAGAATTAATCGATTTGACATTTCTGTTCAATTTACAGTCTCGTTTGCCTTTGGTGATGTGAAACCTTTTCTTTTTTTAAAAGACAAGGCTTATTTTTAAACTAAAATATTATTTAGGTCTTCTGAAAATTCTTTTTGGAAACTACAGAAAAACAATTTCAAAGTTAAGATCGACTTCAACAACTGCTAAATTCTGAGTGCTCTGAAATGCTACACAGAGTAAATTTAGTCCCAGATGGAATTTCTTCCTGTACATACTTAACCTCTCTGAGCATGTGGTTGTATACATTTGACTACATACCTGTACGTTGCTTTTGTGTGGTTGTGTGACTGTGTGTACACGTAGTAAATATATACAGTTGTGGGTGTATAGTGCAGATATGCACACTGTGGTTGTGTGTGTGTGTGGACACAGGTAATGTGTACTAATATACTGCAGTTTTATACTTAACTGAGAAATAGTTGCAAATTATGTTTACTTGACACCAATCTCAGTAAACATTTTTTTAGAATTGTGGATCACTTTCTGCATAAAACAATACGCAGCTTGTCAACAGGACGGCTGATGAAAGCAGCGAGCTGATAGCTTGAAGCTTCAGGGTAGGTAGAGGGAGAGAGATAGAAGCGCTTGATCTGGGGAATTTTAAAGTGTCTCGTCAGAGACACGGTGGAGACTGGACAATGTGAGTGATACATTGCTGGTATGTTTATCATTGCTGCATCTCCAATTGGATTAAATCGTCAACACTCAAACCATGAGTGGTTTCCAGAATCATTATCCTGAACAAATAATTCTTTGAGAGCCAAGTTTCTCTCAGGAAATCACAATTCATTTGAAGAATTTAAAGTTCTTCACATCAACACAATCGCACCTCAACTGCCAAATCAAGGAGGAAAAATATTTGGACGTCTGGTTAACCCCCCCCATGGATATGTATACTGTGCTTCTTTGTAACATTTTTTTTAGATATAAAATAAGAAATCGGTGTGAATATTCTTGTTTAATGGTGCTTTTTATTTTTCCCCTTCGGGCATACTCACTGTGACTGAGGCATTGGGGACATACCCAGCTCCACTGATGTTAATCTGAACCACCTATCAACATGTGCATGAGAATGACTGCGGTGAACTCACCCACTGCTTGTCTCTCTTGCTGCAGAGAACCCTAACCCTCCCCTCCCAAATGTGGGTGAGGTTGCAGCAATGTGGGGAGCTATGTGCCGGCACTCACAATACATGTCCCAAAGCAGTTTATTTGGTGAAGGTCCAGTTTAACCCTCTTAATCACGACAGCGGGCACCACATGGGGCCATGCAACCAGATCACCCAAACTAAAGCTTAGCTCCCGATTCCAAATGGTAGGCGTACCTATGGGGATAAATTTGCATCATTTCATAATTACCCATTTTGTTATGAAGCATCACAAATTTACTCCTCCATATTATGCAGATCGGATGTGGGATATCGCTGTGCGATCAGCTGCTGCGTTTTACACTTTTACTACATAATAAAATCCTGCAAAACTATTTGAGTCGTCCTCCTAATATGAAAGGGCCTATATTAAATGCACATATGCTGATTATTTAATGATATTATTTCACCTCTGCCCACGTGTCTGCTCTTCTCACCTGTTGCAGTTCTATGGCCTCTAACTGTCCTCCAATCCTTTGGCCATGTAACCATTCTTAATGTGTAAGTCCAGAGGGTGAGGTCATCACAGCTGAACTCAATCCTGAGCTCACCTGACGTCCACAGTATATACACACACATTTCTTACAGTGCCGAAGGTGGGGTTAAAACCCCTTCCCTAGCCTAGTGGTACTGAGGAGAATTGTAGCTTCACTCCCGCCACCTGAGAAGGAAACCAACACAGACTGTAGTATTTAGGCATTGACTGCACCTCAACTGAACCATTGGACCATGTTCCACAGGCAACAAAAAATGAGGAGACTGAGAACTCCTCCTTATTTTCCAAGTTAATCTACACAGGATTTTTTTTTTACACTGTGATAACAGTCATTGACTAGTTTGGAAAACTGAGCATGAGACGTCACACTTCTTGTTACTGTTGGCTGCAATACACGGGGAAACTACTAATGGCAACGTACCAGGGCTTTTTAACTAACTGAGAGATTTCAGGCAAAAAAAAGTCTAGTGATTAATTGTGTGAAAAGCCGTCTTACGCTTTGAAGATGACTTAAAAAGCAATTGCTGTCTGAAGCTGACAGATTCAGCAGCAAGTAATGTAATAGTCATTTTGTGATGAAAATAACACGCTGCAGATCATTTCATTTAATGGCTGATAGCATTGAATGTAAAATACTTATTCTGGAATACATTTTCACTGTGTAATGGCACTGTACAAAAGGCACTGTATAAAGGCATTCGTTTTGCGAGGTGACCGCTGGAGGGATCATACTTGGATTTCAGCTGAGTTATTGGGGGTCATGAGTGAAGCTGACCAGTGTTTTTAGCAAACGCTGTGCGTCAGGAGTGGAGAAATCACCATCTTTAACCATGTCTCAAGTACCTTGACATAAGCAAGCAAAGCAAGCGTACCCACTGTAATAAGTTTGAATTATTTATGTTGCACCAATGGAACAGTTCCATTTCCAGAGGATGGAAAAGACGGCGAGTGTTTCTTTAGAGGCTATTGGTGGCTAAGGTTCAATGCTCTCCAGGACAAGCCAAAATGATGCTGAACTTGGTTAGAAAAATTAAAAGACAAACTTGGAACCTGTATATTGTTAATCGTAATAATCCGTGCATTTGGTGTAGCTCCTTCCTTTGGGAGGACGTCTCAAAGCCCTTCACAGGGTTTTACTGTGAAGGGCAGTGACTGTATTTTGGATGCAGCTGCCCATTTGCATACAGCAATGTCCCACAAACAGCCCTGAAACAATTTTATTTGGGAGGCCAGGTTTATTGACCAGGATACCAGGAAAAACTTCCTTCTCTTTATTCATTATTCATCATAATTTTTCAGTGTATCAATGGGAATGTGCAGATCTATATTTCACATTCGTGACCATTACAAATGAACAGCACAGATTTATTTTTCAAAAAGGAGTTAAATGGTAATAAACTCAGTTTCTCCACTCTCAGTCCTGTAAAAAATATAGTCTGACCTACATAGAGGTTCATTTCAATTTTGGTCGGTTGTGGCAGCACTGAGTCCTCACAGCAATTAATGACCTTTAATATCCAAATGGAAATATTGTGCAATGCATTTGAAGGATGTAGAAGAAAATAAGGTTTAACTGTGGTCTTACAATATTCACAATTTCTTGTTAACTGTAATCTTTCTGCATAAAACTATTAGGGTAATGCTGTATTATCTGTCTGCAAGTCAAATATCAAGAGAGGGATCTATAATGGTCTCAGAATGGCTATTATTGATAGCCCATTAGATTGCATATATTTGTCTTTTTATAATAAAGATAGTTAATACAGGTATTGATGTTCATTTGTATGAAGAATATATTGAATGTAAGTTAAGCCTGAATTGTCTATTTTGATTTTCTCTCCTTTGATGCTAGATTTTATCCATTTTTTAGGTAGTTGGAGTAATTGGATTAATCTGTTCACTTTTAACAGAGCAGAGAGGGGGAAAAACACAAATGACATATGCCGGCAAGTCAGAGAAGGAGCGAGAGACATGCATATATAATAATAATCAAACTTAGGTCCTCTCGCTTGAGAGGTGAGCGCGGCAACCACTATGCTGCAGGACTCCTATACACACTCTTGCACATTAACACAGTGAGTAATGTCCTTTGACCATGAGGAAGCTCTTAATACCTTGC